GGAGCGATCATCAATCTCTGCTTATGTGGAGACGCCATTTTTGATCGTGTAAGTTTTTAGTGTCAGAAGATTGGTATATTGTATACGAACAACTTTGGTATAAGAATTTTTGAGGTCTTGTGATTAATTATGAAAATATGTAGTTTCATGTGTTTTGACTTTTGATTCGTATTTTGGTACAAGTTATAGAGTTTGTATTCACTGCAAGTTTGCCTTTTGCATGCATATCTAATTCTTTGGATAGACCAACACCTCTTCAATTGGGTGTATCTGACTATCTGCCCTTATAAATATTATATTGGTCAGATTCTTATGTGTTTTGCAACCTACACGGCCTGATGTAAGTTAGGGATAGTAAGGTAATTTCACATTTATGAAATAAATCTCAAAGCATGTTTTGCCACATACATGGCCTGGTACTTTTAATACCTACTCCAGAATAGCAATGTATTTCTGAGTCAGAAGTACATTGCTATTCTAGAGTGGGTATTGAAAGTCTGTTGCCATTATGGACTGTGGTTATCATTACAGTAAAAGAAACTTGACATATTTGCCCCTCTGGTTCGGTTCTAGTACCATAAACCAGTACCATGGCCAGTGCTGGTACAGGTACCACAAAATTAGTAATTCGGTTCGGTCCTTGGGATGTACTTTTTACGTTTTTAGGGAGGGAGTCATTCCCTCTCAACCCACTCAATCTGCTACCACATCAGTTTTATTTATTTATTTTTTTTCTTTTTTTCTTCATCTTTTCCGACTCACAACACACAGACACTCTATATTTTTCAACTCATTCAATTAAAAAAATACAAAAAAAACTAAGGTACATATCTTAATTAGCAATAGAGTTATCGTTGGTACCTCCCAAATACCACTCCTTTAGTGGGTTGGGAGGGTTGGAGTGGTGGGTTTTTAATTGGTTTCATTAATTCGTTTCATCCTCTCTCTCTATTTTTCTCTTTTTCATTTTCTATTATACCATGTGTTTTAAGATTTGTACTTTAGTTGTTTTGTATTTTTTGTAATTGAGTGGGTTGTAAAAGATAGGATTTTCATGAGTTGTGGATTGACAAAGATGAAAAAAAAAAAAAAAAAAAAAAAACTATATGGAAGTGGGTTGGAAGAGAATGACTCCCTCCTCCCTTATAAAATTAGTTTTATTTTTTGATAATTTTTTTACCAATCTCTTAGCAATTAGTTTTTTTTTCTTCATTTTCATAATGTCCTCTTATTATTATTATTATTATTATTATTATTATTATTATTATTATTATTATTATTATATTTACAATGTTCTCTTACAAATTCTTGCAATTTTCTATTATGAATTCAAACATGTTTTATAAAACCGAATTTGTAAGAGGACATTATAAAAAACACTGATTTGTAAAGAACAATGGGAAAAATGTTCAGTAAATTTGTGAAAAAAACTAATTTTTGTGAAAACAAAGCTGTAATAACAAGTTCCATCAAATTTGGAAAAAAAAAGTTTAGATCAAATATGTGACAAAAGTCAAGTGTAGGGCCAAAATTGTAAAAAGAAAAGTGTAAATTACATGAATCGTCCATCCTGTATATTCCTCATTTGCTTAAACCTTTCACGTTTCATCTCTTAAATGTGTTTTTGTTGCAAATGTAGTCCATGCCCCTTTTGAAATGGTTATAGTACCCTTGGATATTTATTTTTTAAATTAATCTAATATTATTTATAGCTTAAAAAAACAACCCCTTATAATCTCTATCTCTCTGAGTTACGCTGCAAAATACCACAACCACCTCCGATGAGAAGACAAAGTCGATGAAAATGGCAGTTCCTCTTTTCTCTGTCCTTCTCAAATCTAGAAATTGAAACTCATGAAGGTTTCGATTTTAATTTTGAGTTTCAGGTTAGGTTTGATTTTATTTCGATGGATTCGTCTTGGACCTGATTTCGTTTGCAGTGAGATGTCGTGAACTCGTGATAGATTGAAATTGGTAGCCTCGTTGGTCGGTGGTATTCTTAAGACAAAGGGGGATAATGAAGATACATGATGGTGGTTTGGGGTCTGATTTTGGTTCACCGGTTTGGGGTTTTGGATGGTTGTTGGGAATGGGTGAGAAGAGGGAGACGAAAGTAGAAGAAAATTGGGGAAAATGAATAGGAATGTGTTTGCGGTGACAGGTGGTTGTGCCAGAGGAGTTGATGCTGACACTGATATGTGGTGGTGCCAGAGGAGCTGCAGGTTTCTGGCGGCGATGACGACTCCAACGAGGGCTTAAGTTGTTGACCGACGCCCTCATCGATGGCTTCTGGTCCGCCAGCAGTGACAAAACCATGGATTTCCTCAAATCAATCTTCTCCTGTCCCGATCTCCACACCCTCCTCATTCGGTCATTGCATCACAACCAAAGCTTGGTGGGTTGCGATGGTAGCCTAGTTACTTCACCGGAAAATCGAACTTGTTAAGTGACTGAGTCTAGATTTTGATGTTATTCTCCAGCGATCGGAGAAGAAAGTAAGAGAAAGAATAGATGTGTTTGGTGTCGCCGGAAAAAAAAGAGGAGGTGGAGTTGTTTAGGTGGTTGTCGAGAGTGAGTGAGACAGAGGGAAGGAAACATGGGAAAGGGAAGGGGAATGGTGGGTCGGTGTATATATATATATATATATATATATATATATATATATATATATTATATATATATATATATATATATATATATATATATATATTTTAATTTAAAAATAATAAATGAAAATTATAAAAAGAAATTATCAAGGGCAAAATCATCTTTTTATGTCCTGAAGGATGAGGTGTGCAACTTTTAACCAAATAAGAGACGGTCCGAGTTAATTTTTGAAAATAGGGATTAAACGTGCTTTTCGGCACATGCCCGAGGGACGATTGGTGTAATTTACCCAAAAGAAAACTTGGTAACATGTTGGGCTAATAAAACTTGTATAATGATATTTTGAAGTCTGTCATGATAAATTTGTTAGTCTTAAATGGTCTCAATCCTTTTGTGAACAACCAAATGCCTTAAATGCTGTCTATAACAATTATTTGTCATAATAATAATAATAATAATAATAATAATAATAATAATAATAATGATAATAATTTTCGAATAAAACCAATAAAGAAGTTGTACATATTTAAAAAATTTGATGCTTTTCAACTGGACAACACGCTGATCCATTTAATATGTTTTCGCTTGGTTAATTATTTTATTCTATTTATTTGACTTGATGATCATCTTCTTATACGTAAAGGAGTTTAAATAATCAACTTCGTACCCACGATCTTAAATGCAATTTGATTCTCGAGTTTAGTGGTTGCAACTTGCATGATTGAGTATGGGATCTTATACTCTCTTTAAGACTAACAATTTTAATAATAATAGAGTTATGGATAATGAATGGAGCTTACGTGGATGGATTAATTTTTCGTGTCAAACAAAAAATATCAGTTTTGATTTTTTATCCTACAGATTAGACCCATCTATTTTAGCATCTCTAAGAAAAGGAAACATGAGTGTAATATACATGAGCTATGAGATGGACATAAAAGAGACGTTATTGTCTCATATTCATTCTAGAGCAACCAATTTATCAGATAATTTAATATATGGAATATGAGATAGACATAAAAGCACGTTATTATATCATATACGTTATGTTGGAACACTGTCGAATATCAGATATTTGATAAACATTGAAACTTGAAAAGGAAACAATGCTAAAAATAATAATTGGAAAGATAAGGCAAGTGATTTTAGGAACCCCACATAAAATTAAGGTTCCCCTTTGGATGATGAAGGACCCATCTCATCTTCACGCTCACCCTACACCTTCTAATTCATGGATAAGCTACAATTTTGATATTTCGGGACAAAAATCTAAGCTTAAATTTGGATAAAACCAAAAACTATATCCCTAGCAACATCTAAAAATAACTCATTTGTATCTGGTGTTGCTATGACGTTTTTCAGCTAAAATGGTTGAGGATTCAAATCACGTCTAGAACAATAATATAATATAAATAGATTAGAGAATTTGTGTGTCGTCTTTCTAAAGAATGTTTTCGATCGTCAGTCCATTCGAGCCCATATACGATTTTACTCGTTTTGATCCAAATAGTCATCCAACTTACTTAAACCATCTATCTTGCATATCTATATATTTTTTATTGAATTTTATCTTGTGTAATTGTTTTATTATTAAAATAAACATATAAAGAAAGGAAATTTAAGAGGCACTATATATCCTTTTCAATACATGTGATGGGAGGCGGCTGTTTTTTAATAACATCCAAATTTTTTATAATTATGAAAGTTTTGAACAAGTGACTGGATAACTAACACATTAATCAATTATTACTAATCACTGCTGACTGTATAATAACATATGTTCCAATCTCATGCATGACAATGAAAGGGACGTGCATGAGTGTGTAGTAAAATACAAAATGTGAACCCATATGGGACCACCAAGTTGAAATGGATTCTATGTAGCAAACATGATCTATATATTAGATTATTTATATAAATTCTTACTTTACCAATTTTTTATATATAAAAAAACATGGAATAAAGTAACCTCTAAATTGCTCATCAGTAGATAACATATACAAAATCCGTCAATGAGACAATTTGTTGGGATTTGAATGTATTTCTCAATTTTTGTTGGGATTTGAGCACCTAAATGTCTTATTTGAAAATGTGTTGCACTCTTAACTTATTTTCTAACGATGCCTTTGTTAGTTGAGCTGTATTGGGCACCATAGACTGTGACCCTTTGACATTCGCACTCCAAAGAACATGGGTTGGTCCACTCTTTAACCAATTTATTTATTACCCTTCAACATGATCATCAAGTTTCTTTTGCAACCAAACATTGCCTATAATATAAAACCAATTTTTTTTATTCTTCTGTCTCATTTATATTGCATCATTATAATTAAATTTTCAACCTAAATATTCCATATAACAAAGCCTCCTAATTAGGATCAATTTTTGTAGCCAAGAAGGAAGTTCAATTTTCTAGTAGCACATCTCGGTAATGGGCAACACCCAAATCTTACAAGGAAGAAACCTTGTTATGTTTGGCATAACTCGATGTTAACGCATCTATATAAAGCATAATGCATAATTGATATCAAAACATGCGAAAAGAAAACAAGTCCCGCTAAACAACCCAAGTAAACATTTAGATAGTTAATGAAAGTTAGATACACCATTTATTTATATGTAAAGAACACAAATAATGATAGTTAACTTAAAGTTGCCGAATTTACATGCATGCAAGGCTTAATGAGGTCCTAAAGCTCAAAAGAGCTTAATAAATGACTTAATACTTGTATCGAGGTCACAGACACCATAAAGTTTGTACTTTTAAGCTTAAAGAGTCAACTAAACATCCAGATCTACAAGATTGACATCTCAGATGCTCTTAACTCTTCAAGACCAATCAAATGGGACCAAAAAGGACCAAAACAAGCTTAAGAAGATATGTAAGCAATAGATAAGCAAGATATGAACTTTATATCTCCAGAAGCTCGCTAAGATGATGTGGATGCTAGATCTAGAAGCTCAACCACATACAAGACTTGGACGACAAGTTCTTCTTGCAAACACACCAAAAATGGCTCCTTTTGTTACTTCAAGCTCAAAATCACCTCTAATGGCTATTTAGAGTTTTTAGGGACGTTTAAAGGTAAGGAGGCTGATAAAGGTGAGGGCCCAAAGGCCATAAATGGGTTTAAACAAGGGACAAGTCCGAAGATTACGGTTTTAGACACAGGCCACGTATGCCCCACGTACATCCTCGTACGCCCCGCGTACGAGGCTCAACTGTCTGATCATGCGCGCCTCAGTACGCTAAGTGTACATGCACATACGTCGAATGTACGAGGGGAGTCTTCTTGCCAACTTAATTTTCAAAAAAAAACTTAAAAAGGGAATTACCTGAATTCGGATGTTACAGTTTGGTAAAAAAAGTTATAATTGTGATTTTTTTAATATATTTGTGCTTGATGTTAATAATAATAATAAAAAAAAAGACTAGTCCTTTTGAGACGACCAATATCATAATTTTACTAATTGTTTATGTATAGATTAATCAACTAGATACGGCTAAGACAAACAAATACCGTCTAAGGAATAATCGGAAATTAGTACGAGCTTAAGCAATATAGAAAATAAAAGCAAAATCTTAATATGAAAAGTTGATAATTACGATAGTTTATAAAAAATCATTTTTTATTATACGGAAATTTAATTGAAATATTATAATATAAATTAGAAAATGTATAAAGTTATTATTAAGAACTGAAATTATATAATTTTAAATACTAATATAAAATTAATTATTAAAAAAATAAAAATAATTTTAAAAAGTTGATACATTTAGCTTTAAAAAGCGCAGACCCCTAATAACCCTTAGACTTTTTTCAATTCACAGTAAATTACATTTTATTTATTAATACTTCATTTTACTTTTGATCGTGGTTTTGATTATGAGGCTGTTTGTTTTTTAGAAAAAAAATCTCTTCAAACATTTTATTGTTGTGCGGCTCAAGACACGTGTAATACTTTTCATTTCGTAGTTTTTTGTTGTATTTAGAATCCCCAAAATTTGGCCCTTATTTGTCACTAACCATTGTTAATCCATCTATTTGTTGGTAATCTATCGCCAAACTAAAATTTTATGAGCCGATTTTTATTGTTCGTAAAAGGTTTTTAAAATCAACAAACCGTCTTTGATTAAGATAGGATCGAATCCAACTTTAGTAAACCTATAAATATTGTTATAAAAGAAAATTCATATTCGATTTTTTACAGATCCGTGTATGCCAATCCCAATTTTTTGAGAAAATTTTAAAAGTGCTCCGTGTGAATTGTGATTGATGGGAAACATAAGAAAAGAAAATAAGGCCCAATAAGCGACATCCAAATGTAAATTTGATTCTAAAATATTTCCCACGGTACACACTCCACAAGTCACTATTTTGTTGGATAATTTAACATAATTTCGAAGATGTGGACACGTATACGCATCCAAATCCCAAAACTAGTGGCAAACTCATCCACAATTTTGTTTTTTATTTTCAATAACTTTTTGTTTTTGTTAAAAAACAAAATTGCTTTTTCTTGTGGTTTGTTATTTTCTGTAGGTAAGGTTAAAAAAAGTTTATTAGCAAAAAATATCTCTACTTGATGGGTTTTGTTGCGATTTTGGTCCCAACCTCGTTAAGTTTAACAGCACTGTAGTTAACTTTTAGAAAATTATGGATTTACCTCTAGGATCATTTCTGCAGTTTTATCTTTTTACCAAATTACAAGGACCAATTATGCAATTTTCTTTTTCATTTTGTTGAATTATTATATAT